AGCAAGTGTGAATTTTGGTTAAGGTCCGTAGCTTTCCTTTGTCATATTGTGTCAAGCAAGGGTATGAAGGTAGATCCTAAGAAGACATATACGGTCAAGAGTTGGCCTAGACCTCTAACTCCTTTCGACATTAGAAGCTTTTTGGGTTTGGCCGGTTAATATAAAAGGTTTGTCGAGGGATGTTCTTCCATTGCTTCTCCTTTGATGGCTTTAATCAAAAGAAGGCTAAGTTTGTGTAGTCGGAAGCTTGTGAAAAAGGTTTCCAAGAATTGAAAGATAGAGTTATTTTTGCTCCAGTGTTGACCTTATCAGAAAGTTCAAATGGTTTTGTAGTGTATTGTGATGCCTCTAGAGTTGGGTTGTGATGTGAGCTTATGCAAAATGGTAAGGTTATTGCCTATGCTTCAAGGCAACTTAAAGTGCATGAAAAGAATTATCCTACCCATGATCTTGAGTTAGCGGTGGTTGTTTTTGCCTTAAAGATATGGAGGCATTATTTGTAAGGGGTCCATGTTGATGTTTTCACCGATCATACGAGTCTACAATATGTGTTTAGTCAAAAGGACTTGAATTTTCGCCAAATAAGGTGGCTTGAATTTTTGAAGGATTATCACATGAGTATACTTTATCACCCCAGTAAAGCTACCGTGGTAGTGCATGCTCTTAGTAGATTGTCAATGGGTAGTGTGGCTCAAGTAGATGAAGAGAAGAGATAATTGGTTCGTGATGTTCATAAGTTGGCCCGACTAGGTGTCCAACTAGTCGATTCCACCAAGGGTGGTGTCATGGTCCATAATAGTTCTGAATTGTCCTTTTTGATGGATGTGAAGTCTAAACAAAGTCTTGATCCTATCTTGGTTGAGTTGAAAGAGGCAGTACTTAAGAAGTCCGTTGAGGCTTTCTCCCAAGGGGGAGATGGGGTACTAAGGTATCAGGGTAGGTTATGTGTCTGATTAATGTTTAGAAAATACTTCATCCAATTCTAAATGACAACGATTGTAAATCAGTATAAACCCAACTAAATGAGTTGGGGTCGATCCCACATAGAGTAGTTTTCTTTTGAATTCGATTATAAAATTATGATAGTGACCTTTGCAGCTGAACACATAAAACTCTTTAAAATCTATGAACCAATACTCGGAAACAACGTCACTAATCCAAACGATCAGTTATCGGACTATGAAACAATTCAACAATCGAAAAGTGACAATCAAATAAGGAGGCAATACTTGAGGGATTGACTAACCAACTGCTAAATTCAATTCAACAGGTACAAATCATCAACCAACCATGTTAATTTGTTATGTGTAGAATAGACTTTAGATAAGGCACTTTTCTCTCGAACAAATACCTTATTTCCATTGAGTTCTTCAAAACCTCAATGCATTCCTTAAGAAGACCAGCCCACAATCTCAACAAATCTACTCTCTCGAGCTAGATACAAAGGATGAAACTTCGATTTCACTTTCTCAAGATGAAACTGTCAAGACCTACTAGCTATGGATGCTAAGTTATTACCTTAGCTCTACACTTCTTTCTCAAGCAAGTGTAAAACCCTAAAGTATATTGCAATAAACATACAATATAGAAGTTAAACCACAATAATAACTCAGACCCAATTCAAATTAACACCGGAAACCAATAATTACTAGCATCCATTGAATCAAACACATCAATTGGTTACATTGTCAAACCCCAAAGACTGGGCTTTTAGCCAATCATTGTAAAAATATAAAATTCGATACCTCCTACAAATTCCATAGCTGGGTATTTGAAAATCAAAAGTTTACTATGAAGAATATCTTCGCTATTACAATGCCCAATTGAAAATAATGCAAAAGTTTCTCCAAATCAACAATAGCCGTGTTTTTCTTTCTTTTCTGTGTTTCTCACAATTTCTGAATACTCTCTTTCTTCCAAAAATAAATTTATACGAATATGAGGTGTGGCTTTTTGGGCTATTCAGTGAGGTAAATCAGGCGTCGCCGACCCTTTCGGCGACTCACTGATCGTCCTCTTATCTCGCCTTCTTTCTTCACATTTCCCTTGTCCAACCACTATAATTTTAGGCGATCCAGATCAGGATCGCCATTCCATTACGTGATGCGCCCTTTTGTGTCTTAGCTCACCAATCTACATTCATCTGGATCTCCATCATTACTTTTCGGCGACATAGTCGTCCTTCACCGTTAGGAGATGCAGTTTGCCGATATTCCTCCTGTTTTAGGCTCAATGGTCCGTAAATTAAGGCGATCCAGGGGTTTCTTGGCGATCCGCCGAGTTATCTTGGCTATCATCAGGTTTGTTTTTTTTTCCTCTCTCTTTTTTAGTTTGTGTTGTCCTTCTTGCCTATTAATGTCCTAGCTTTGTTTCTCAAACCTATAACGACCCGAGAGCACCCCTTAACCGTTACATGCATATTCGACCTCTCGGTGCTAGAAAATACTCCCCCACGGAATTTGGACATTCATTTCATTCATTCATTTAGGGATAAAGATTGCTACTAAGTACTCTCATCTCAACTCACGAAGGAGTACTCATGCTAACCCAACATTCATTCATTTAGGGACAAGGATTGCTACTAAGTACTCTCATCTTAACTCACGAAAGAATACCCATCCTAACCCTCATTAATTTATTAAGGAAACTCTTGGATTCAAAGAAAACTTTTCATCTAGGAACCCCATTCATTTAAAAGAGTACTTTAGGAGACTATCCTCACAATAGACCCAACTTTCATTCATTAGCATTAACTCCCATTCTTTTCATTCATCCTTCACTAGGTGTGAGAGTAGGTAAACATAGTCTATCCTAACCTCACTTTCATTATAAGTCATTCAAAGAAGACAACAACCAAGCATAACACATAAAGTCTCTACACAAGGTCACCTTTCATGCTCTTAGACCATACACAAATTTACATCATATCACATTACCTTCACATAATCAACATTACTAAAAAAACAACCATCCAACTTTGCCTACAAGGCCATGATCACAACATGCTTATAAAGTAAACACCTCCCCACTTTCAAAGGGATCAAACCTTACAATTCTAACATCTACAACATATATATATATATATATATATATATATATAAGATACTAGAATCAATAATCTATTCACAACTTCATCAGCATCATAAACCTTAGGTCACAATTGCCTATTCAAGGCCAACATCTAATGTAACACAATTGACCATCAATTCCTCATAATTCAATATAGAACAATACATAAATCAATAGCCCATAACAATCTACACATTAATATCACATTATTAGCTCATAATCAATAGACCCACTTTAGACCCAAATATTAGGGTTTCAAGATATGCAAGGGTTCATGGAGTTTTTGACCTTAAAACTATAAATACTAACTTAAATCATCATTTGAAATACTTTCATGCAAGAACCCAATCTTAGAATTGAAGTTGGGGATTTTAGTGTTTTTGAAAAACATTGAAATCTCTTTGATTCGGCTCTTTGATTGAAAGGAGAATCAAAGATAAAATGCCCATACCTTTGTGATTAATATCCTTAGGAATTTGAAGAGAAATCAGTAGGAACCCACCCCCTAGCTTGAATCTTCATCAATGGCTTCCATGGAGTTCTAGAGAGAGAATTTATTTCAGAGGAAAGGTTCAATTTGAAGAATGGGGTCTTATTCGAGGTCTGGGGTTTTAACCACTTAAAATGCCCTAAATTAGGTAGAAAAACCGATTATAATAATTCCCCAAAGTACCCAAACTACTCCTCACTTAGTTGGACCTTTTAAACAAGTCAAACTTGAGTTCTATTTTCGCAGATTTCGTCGGGGCACAGGTCCGCGACGCGGAGATGTTCCCACAAGTTTTTGGAAATTAAATTTTGAGACAGTAGAGTCTGCGACACGTCCTCGATGCGGACCAAACTTTTGGCCCTTGGTGGAGCTAGTCCGCGACGCGGACATGCTCCCTCAATGAGCGTTTTGCAAGTTTCCTTGGCAGCTTGTTTGGTCAAGGTTGGGGTCCTCCTCGGGGACCCTTAGGTTGGTCCCGGGGCGTCGTACTTGAACGTTTTGACCCTAAAGACATTTATTAAGACACTAGGGTCACCTCCACTGATTTTAGACTCTAAACAACACATAAAAACATGAACAACATACTAGAACACACCAACACGTAAAAGACTAGTTTCCGAACGTCCTGGTCGTCCCTTGACGTTTGACTTCCAAACTCTTTAAAACTGACTAAAAAGGCTATTCTTCATTATTTTAACAAGTTATTAATTCATAAACCCATATGAGGCTCTACTTTATCATACTTCATTTTGGGGGGTGTTACAATATCCTCCACTTAGGAACATTCGTCCTCGAATTACACTAAAATACTTCCGAGAACTCAATGACCCAACTAGCAGCTCACAACAAGCATGTAATATCATTACTACAACACACATCAAGGAGGAAACATCAACTCCATATAAAAGCATTACAACAAAACTTTCATGCAATTCAAGGAAGTAGGAATAACATCTACCACTCAATATGCACAAAACTAACTATTTCTCATTTCTTTGGAGGAACTTCCTTCTCCATAGCATAACATGCTCATTACAACATTTATAGGCTCACCATACAATTTCTCTCAAGAGCATAATCATGCAACATCAAGATCACATCAGGCATGCTCAACTAGGCATCTTATGGAGCAATTTAAACAATTTTTCATAAATGCATATAAATCATGAGGGACATAATCAAGAAAACTCATTTATTTATTTAAAGAAGAATTCAACTAAAATATGCACATCATAAGGAGAATATGGATACTCAATTCACATAAGACTCCAACATGCAACATGCTACTAAGAACTCTTTGTTTCAAGCTTGAATTAGAATAGAAGGAAAATATAAGGATATCAACAACCTTACTACTCAAATCATCATCCCCCACTTGGGGTAAACCCATCTAAGGTTATCATCAAACAACAAGGAAAATTGACTTACCTTCATTTGTTCCTTAATCCTTGTTAGCTTGAAGCATATAGAAACGGTTCTTCTTAGGAGCATTTGGATCCGGGCCATCATGAGCAATTTGATTGATCTCTTTCCCTTTTACCTTAAGGGTAGGGCAATCTCTCATCTTATGACCCTTACTCCCACATCCAAAGTATCCATCTATACCAGCAAGACACTTGCCCAAATGTTGCTTTCCACAAGTAGCACACCTAGGCCTCTCAAAAGTAGAACCACCTCCATTCCCTCTTTGAGGTTTAGGGTTAGACACCCTATCATTGTTGACAATTAAAGAATCTTGGTTATAGAACCTCTTCTTAGACCTAGATTGGTTTTGTTCATCCGGCCTAGCCCTTTGGATATCTCTATTCATCTTCCTAAGCTTCGTCTCCTCAAGTTGTTGAGCATAAACCATAAGCCTAGAGATATCCATATCATGATGGAGCATAGCCGTACGACATTCTTCTTCAACCAAACCGAAAACCCCCATCACAAACTTATTCACTCTAGCCCTAGAATTTTTTACCAAGGTAGGAGCATACTTAGAGAGTTAGGTAAACTTGAGAGAGTATTCCTTCACACTCATATTCCCTTGACGTAGGTTCATGAACTCAACCAACTTTTGCTCTCTCAACTCTAAGGGGAAAAACCTATCAAGAAAGGCCATCTTAAACACTCCCCAATCTATTGGGTCAGCCACTATGGGTCTCTCATCCCTCCATTGCTCAAACCACACTTGAGCTACATCCTTGAGTTGGTAGGAAGCCAACTCCGCCTCCTCCCTAGGAGTCACTCCCATTGCATCCACAATCTTAAACACCTCATCTATAAAGTTTTGTGGGTCCTCATCTACCTTAGAACCAAAGAAGGTAGGAGGGTTCATCCTTGTGAAATCCTTTACCCTAAGGCCATAACACTCTCAATAGCATTCACCCTAGCATTCACCCTAGGCGCCACATCTCTATTTGCTTGAGTAGTCATGGCACGGGCTAGGGAGAGAAAAGCCTCTCTAATCTCCCCATTAGTCATATCCGAGGGAACCACCGGAACCACATTCTCTTGCCTACCTAAAGGAGCTTGGCCACCTTGCATTCCTTGGGGAGGAACTCCCTCATCATCTATCTCCTCTTCCGCTCCCTTCCGATTAGCCCTCGTATTCATATCCTGTAAACACAAGAGACAGATTAGGAAAAGGTCACTTGTAGACCAAACTCTAAGGCACGACATCAAGAATAATGAAAGAAAGTGACACTTCTATCATCCTATAGCCTCTTGCTCATAGATGTGTCACGACTCACACCGATGAACAAGACTCTACTAGACGTGGCTTTCGAGACTTTGAACCTAAAAGTAATCTTTAAAACCTTATGCTCTGATACCAAGTTTGTAACGACCCGAGAGCACCCCCTAGCCGTTAAATGCGTATTCGACCTCTCGGAGGTCTTATACATGCCTTAACATTCATTCATCGCATAGATCATAAAAATCACTAAGAATTTAAAACTTTTATTCAATAAAACCATAAGACTTCAAGAGTCATCAACATTTGAAAACACCAATACGCAAGCGGAACTACTATGTCTCTTTAGCCAATCTTAGACAAGAACTTAAAACATACTAAGGGACACAACCCTTTAAAAATGATATGAAACTTAAGTGTCTATTACAATGACTAAAAAACTTCTAAACATAGTCCTCGAATCTTGAGGACATACCAAAGACTTGGAAGAGTGAAGCAATCCAAGCAACTCCAAAGCACAATCTCCTCCTAGTTACCACAACCTACACTTGTAGTAAAATAGAAGAAATGGGTTAGTACAACACACGTACTAAGTATGAGGATATGCAAAACATGCTAAAAAGGACATTTGTGAGGAAGTTATGCTTTCATGCCATTTTGATAAAATCTCATGAACATCAACATAATAGGCACCTTACAAGTCACAACCAACAATACAAATTCATATGCTTCACAATACCTCATAAAACATACATAACCCATTTACCTTTACCTTCTTGCGTTGGACCTCAACCTTAAGTAATCCTTAAGCAATACCTTTGTGCAATGTATGGGCAACGTCCCATACCATTACCCACACTAAGGCACCACCTTAAGGTCACACAAAGTGCACTTACCATGCATACCTCAACCTTCACCAATTAGTCACATGAGACTTATAAGCACATAAGCCAACAAGTCGCTTCATAAAACTAGAGCACTCATCAAATGTCATCCCAAGACTCACCTAAGTAAGACATGGTGAAGCAGCCCATACTACCTCTCTATACCACACCCAAGTGATCCTTAAGGCTACACAAGACAAGCTCCATTCACATCTCAACATAAACCGCTGATTCAACTTAATGCATTTAGACAACTTCATTCACTAATGACATAAGATCATCACATACATTCAATTCAACATAAGCACTTACATTCAATTCATTATGACTCACTTTCACATTAGCATGCTCAAAGACCAACACTTTCATTAATTAGCCCAAAGATACTCATTCATGCATTATCATTACTAAGACACACCAAGATCTCCCTTAAATGTCTACTTGTGCAATGTCTAGCTGATGTCCCATTCCACCACCTATCCTAAGTAGTACACCCTTAAGATACCCTAGTTCATTCATTCATTAATGTGGGGGAAGAGCCTTAACCGACATAGACCATGGAGCTTGACATGGAATCTGATACGCTCAAATTACACCTCCGTAAAGAAGTATAAGCGATCGTTATCAAGTAAAGAACCCAACTTTTAGGTTGGGATTGATCCCACGAGGAAAATGGTTTAGACTTTACTTTAACCAACAATTATATTCAATTAGCCAAAGTACTTCCAGAAACAAGAAATAAAAAGAGGGGGATTTGTGAAACAAATTGTAAGAATTCAGTAAGTAATCAATAAACAAAAGTTCAATCTCGGTTGTTATCAAGATGAGAAAATTAACTAGGGTAGACGTGTTCCCCACAAGCTCATAACGCAGTACTCCTAGTAATCACAATCCTTTCCTAGTGTGTTACATGCAAAGTGATAAGTTAAGTATCTCTAAATCCTTGATCCGGCATCTAGAGAATTTCACCCCGTACCTTGATCCGGCTACGTGTGTATAATTTACTAACCCTTACCTTTACCTCATATTAGACATCATAATCGATGTTTGGCTTAGTTATTACTTCGCACCAATCGATACTAGCCTATTAGATAGTATCACACTAAATCTATGTTGATAATTCTTTTCTTGTTGATTACCTCATTGATCCGGCAAGTAGCAACAAGGCGAATTCTAATGCGTGCACTCGTTAAAAAGACTTTTAAACGAAAGAATTATCAATGCATGCAAAACACTATTCAAGGATTACTTATTTACTATTCATACTTTGTTAATCGCTCATAGTTCCCACAACCCTAGTTGTGGATTTAGTTACCCATATTAGCAACAACACAATTCATAATATTAGATGAAGAAATCATGAATTTACGTAATGAGAATAATAAACCTAGAATTTCAACTTGAATTGCAAAGCCAAAATCTTCAAAACGAATGTAGGAAATCAATAATTGCTAGGGTTGCAACTTAATCTCCAAAGTCACAAGGTAAAAATAGAATAATAATGTCTACCCCTAAAAACGAGGTTTACATGCCCTATTTATAGAAAACAAATCCTAAATTAAAAGGGAAACATATTAAGGAAAGTTTGTTCAGGTACGTGTCTTCAATCCACGAGACTGACTTATGGACCGTCGATGGATCTACGGTCCGTAAGTCCCTTCCGTCAGCTAGGACTTAGAAAATATTTTCGCTTCCAAAAATCAGCTTCTCTGAAGCAAACGACGGACTAGCAGTACGGACCGTAGATTGATCTACGGTCCGTCAATCCCCTCCGTAGCTCCACACTTAGAATCTTCAAAAATCAGGTACTGGAACCCTCGCAGTATCACTCTACGGATCAACAGTACGGTCCGTAGATCAATCTACGGACCGTCAATGGACACCGTGGTTCCACACTTGGTCAGATTTCCCTGATTTGTCCTCAATACCATGCCTGCTGATCTATGGTCATCACCTACGGACCGTGAATGGACCTACGGTCCGTAGATCACCTCCGTGAATGCCATGTTTCTGCATTTCTTTCAGCTGTCTCTATACTTCCGCGCATGAACATCTTTCATGCAAAACATGATAAAAACACATAAAAACCAATATTAAAAGGCCCTAGACACACACAACTTGTAAGTGAAATGTATTAGAAATACCGTAAACTCACGGCGCACTACAACTCTAAACGACACTTGTATAGAAGCAAGCATTTTCGGCCCAAGCAACACATGGCTCTCTACCCCCCTCATTTTTCAGATGCAACTTCGTTCTCTTAGACTCGACAAGCTAATCCATGCAGATCAGATCATGACACAGATCAACCAACTGACACACAACAACCATCTTCTCACTGTCACCAAGGTACCAACTTTCCGACAATGTAACTAGTGCCCTTACTTCAAACGAAATCCCCTTTTCACAAAAATTGAATGTCATTCATGGTACAAGGATTTATTAAACACTCACGCTCAGAAGTAATTTCAAATACAATTAGTGCTTACTGCCATAAGCTTGCCCTTATTTTCGCTGCTTAGACTCTCCAAACTAGACTCTAGGATCACTATAGGACTTTATTAGCTTGTAACATAGGCTCAGGGTCAGGTGTGGTACATTTGGGTACTGCTTAGTGACTTTCTACCCTCCTTGACATTACACTAGGCTTTTAACCTCTTTTTGCCCTATTTTTGTCATACTATCACTTTACCTTCTTTCCCTTAATTTTCTTCAACCACGGATGTGACTTTAGACTTTGTAGCTCATTTTACTTTTATTTTTCCTTTAGCTTTCAACAAGTCACATCCATTCCTCACGCTTTTTTTGTTTTGTTTTTTTTTCATCACTCTTTTCATACCCATTTTTCTTTCAGTTTCCTCTTTCATAGCCACCCTCAACTTATGGATTTTCCGTTAGTTGAGGTGCACAATACCCGATGTCGGGTTAGGGCCAAGATTGAGGTTACTTTTTACATTAGCCACCCTCAACTTAGGCTTTTAGCCTGAGTTGAAGTGCACATGTCCAAGGAGAGACCGGGGCCAACATAGTAGATTATGGGAAGGTGAGTTCGGGGTTTTAGAAAGGAATGGTTTATTTTTAGGCTCAAAGTTGGATCAAAGGGAACAATTATTTCATTTGGTTGAATCCTTCTAGGCAATTTGCAGACTTTTTAGAACAATGGCCCATGATCACTTCCTAACCTCTAGATTGAATTGTCTTAGCAGGACTAACCGGGCAAGTTCTAGTTTTGCACAAAACCGTTTGAACAGTCAACGATTCTCACCCACTTTTGGCACATAGTTTCATCATCAGATTATCAGATTACCCAGTTCAAGTTTCAGCTCTAGTCATGCCATCGAGTCGATTGTTACTATGTCATACTCAGAACCAACACAATCAACTAATCGTAGCCTACAACTTCTAGCATACATCCCAAAATCTGACAGGTATCATTTTTCATAAGCCATTATGCTTCATTCTGTATCATGCTTCTACACATACAATCCTAAGACATGCCGGTTCAACAAAAATTAAACAGTCCCTTGGGGAAAAAGAACACAGGCAAGAAAACCCCAATAGAGGATTCATGAGTTAGGTTATTCAGATTCCACCCTATCACTCACAATCCATTTAGCCCACCCCTAACAAAAAATAGATGCAGTTGTCCCCAATGCATACATAAACATTAAAAGAAAATGGATTGGGTGAAGCAAACCTGTGGCGCAAAGCGCCGGCGAATCATCAACAAGCAGGGGGGTCCGGTTTCCCGAAACCCGC